ATATGGCGATGGTTTTTCCACCGTTGTAATGGACTCTCGATACAGGTGTACGTGTAGATGAGTGATCTCCAATTAATTGATCAAAAATACACCATGGACCATCTTTATTGGTTTTTTTTTCTTGTACTGGTTGATTTTCAATAGTAAAATCTTCTTGTTCGTTAATTATAGAAGTAACCAGCTTCTTAACTATGTCGGATACTATGGATGTAAGGTTACCGTTTGCTAAAATTTTATTGCAAGATTCTTGCAGGCAGCGTACCATAACAATCGCTGAACTACCCTTCAAGTATTTTTGGTCACTCATTGTACTTGTTATTTCTTTAAACGGCCGTAAAATTTTGGAAAGTTGAGAACAAATAATCCAGTGCTATTTATTTAGATTTGGTTTAAGTCTAAGTCTGAATTATTTAATACCAATGTGGAACGGATTACCTCTTCTAACTCGGTCATTCTTTTTAACATGTAATAGGTGAAGTTCTACCTAGTTTCCACATCTTGTATTGGCCGTTTGGGAACTTTGTTATGTTGTAATTAATACTTTAAAAACCTTTCTGAAGATAAGGTACTTTTTTTGAAATGTGTTTTTTGCAGAATTGTCGAAAAAAGTACTTTTTATTTTATCTATTAGTACACGACAGCATTTAAGTGCGTCCTCCACCAATAAATTTAACGTATGAGCAAAACAACTTAAATGTTTTCATTCCAAAACATCTTAAATAGCTTTGACCATATTTGAGGCATTATCAGTTACTGCAAAATTTACTTTTCGTTTTAGACCCCACTGATTAATAATTTCACTAATCACTGTTTTCTGAATTATGGTTTCCAGAAAAACGGCAGCAGCCTAATAAAACCGTTTTAAATGCTAAATTTTCGGTTAAATATTGTCCTGTTAATGCGAAGTAACTCTCAGTTACTCCAGATGTCCAAAAGTCAGTAGTAATACAGATATTTTCTACTTCTTTAACAACTTGTGATCTAATAATTTGCTCAGTTTTGACATAACATTCCTGAAGTAATGAACCTGACAAAGTTTTTCTTGTTGGCGGTTTTTATCCAGGAATCCACCCTGCAAACTTTTTAAAAGCTAGTTCTTCAACTATGGAAAACGATGAAACGAGTCTTTGCTTAAGTTTAGTAAATCTTGAAAATCAACCAGTACAAGAAAAAGAAACAGATAAAGATGACTTAAGTCCATGGTGTATTTTTGATGAATTAATGAACTCATTTAAACATACACCTGTATCGAAAGATATAAAAGAAGTCGACATGTATTTGTCTGATGATATATTACCCACAAAAAATTTCGAACGGAGATTGGAACTGTCCGTTACCGTGGTGGAAAAACTATCGCCATGTATATCCTAACTTAACCACTATATTCATAAAATATTGTAGTATTGTAACAAAATCTTTTCCTTGTGAACATATGTTTAAAATCTGGTTTAATTTTAAATAAAAGAACACGGTTAACAAGAAAGGTGGAAAAACTTTTTTTAAATGTCAATTTAGACAATTCGCGATTTAATAATGTGTAATGTAAATGTAAGTACTATTTGTATTGTTTAATTTATTTTTTAAGTTATAATAAATATATCCTTCGTTAGGTTCTTTGACTTGAATACTTTTACACATAAACGATAATAGCCAATATATTTGTGTATTCGCTAATTTGAATACTGGTAAACAATCAACTAGTTACAGTTTACGAAAAACGGTTCCGATAAAAATTTAAAAAACGAGAGGACCAACCTCTAGTTTTTTAGGTACATTAGGATCGGAACCAGAGAATATGTAAAATATCTATGATCGGAACTAATCGTCTCACTAATGGGCAATGAGTGTTAAAAATATTTATGGAGGGGAGACTAAGTGGAAATATGATTGTTATCTTTGTCTATTCGCTGAAAATATGATTTAATATCTGCGTTAGATATCCTGTTAAATTTTACCATACCGACCAGAAACTTTTACCTACACTGTATAGTAAGGATGGAGATTATTCTTTGAAGTCCTCGCAAGACAGTGATATTCAGAATTTGCGGAGCATGACTAATTCGTCGGGTAATCTTTTTAATTATTCTAAACTACATTAAGAATGAACGGCAACGGTGTACTAAGCAGATAAAAGTAAATTTATTTTTCTCCTACTAAAATCTCAAATATGAAAAATGATTTACGGTTTGTTTACATATGTGAATTTAAAAAGGCTTCGTAATACAACAGTGAGAAATTTCTAAAAAAAAAAAACTCTTTTAGTAAAATCTAATGATTGAAATGATAAGAGTAAGGTTATTTACAATTCGAAACAGTCATACTGGTAAAACTCTGTCCGCTAGTTTTACGTCGTTGCCAAAGTTAAATAATTCTGCTGGGGACTGATAGGAACCGGATTTTTGAGTTTGAATTTTGAATAAAAATACAAACAGAATGGACAGAACCAATATTATTAGACGGTCTAGGACCTCCGTATATCGGTGTCCACTTGACCACGGAGCTCACTTAAACCTGAATTAACATGGACGGAGTCCACTTTATGCCGTATATATATATATATATATATATATATATATATATATATATATATATATATATATATATATATATACTTTAGTGATGCAACACTTTCGCCTGACTATGTTTTCTTTAACCGCTTGATCATCTTGGTCATTGTATGTATGTAATGTATGTCCGAATGTGCTTTTACTCCAGTCATAAGAGACGAAAAAGTCACTGAATCTTTAAAAATCATACAAACAAGCTGAATTTTACTGAGAATATCAATTTTAGGTCCCCAAAAAATATTGCCATTTTTACTCCCCGGCTTCACCTTAAACCTCTCTCGTAGGGGGAAACGGAAAAAATAGGATTGCCAAGAATCTGTACGCCGTAGAAAAAAATGTTTCAAATACAAAAGTGTAGCTTTTCTGCTAAATTTTAAACAAAAAAAAATATTTATTAGCACTTTTTCTGTTGAACGAACCGTTCGTTAGAAACAACTTTTGAAGCAACCGGTGAGTTTCAATGTCAGGTAGGTGCGCGAAATTAGTTTTAAATAAAAATTTTATCAATTCGACAGTAAAATTCGATATCTTTTGATCAGACTGTCCTACCGACAAAAATCAAAATACGTTTTAATGCAAAAAGCAGTGGTTTCGCGTTAGGAGCAGTATTGCTACATCAATATGACGAGCATTCCGTGGAATACGCTAGCAGACTTCCAACCGCCGCCGAACACAACTACTCAACTTCAGAAAGTGAAGCTTTAGCTGTTGTTTGGGCCTTAGAAAAGTTTAGAGGTTATACTGAAGGTACTCAAATAACTGAGTAGACTGATCACCAACCCCTACAGTGGTTGCTAAGCCTAAAATCTCCTACAGAAAGGATGGCAAGATGGGAACTATTAGCCCATACACTTTCTAGGCCACCATGTGAACACAATGATGTACTGTCCTGAGTAATATTTGAAGTGCAAACTGACTTGCCCCATCGGACAGTATATGAGACCATGGTTCAACAATTGAAAGACCCAGATGTTGCCAAAATAATTCAATCATTCGAATGAATATATAAATTGGACAGATCGTGGATACTTGCTTACACAATGAGTACTCAAAGGAGTCACAACAGGCTCAGTTACTAGTAGCCACACATGAGCGAGAAGCCATTATGAAGGAATATCATGATGCGCCGACTGCTGGCCATTATGACATTGAACGTACTTCGAGAAGAATTGCTAAAAATTTATTCTTTCCAGGCTATACGCAACGTTTCGAAACACTTGCCATTCGATTTATTTGATCCGTTACTTGAGGGATTAGGTGAACGTTAGATTTTGATAGTTAAGGACACATGTACCAAGTGGGTGGAGATATTTGCCTTAACTCAAGCATCCGCACAATAATGCGCTATGAAGCTTATTGACGAGGTATTCTTACGATTTGGTCTACCCTAAAGAATTATCAGTGATACTGGTGTGCAATGCGTGACTGACGTAATGCAACAAGTTTACTATGATTTACAGATATCACTCTTCTAATATGGTAGAGCGCAAGAATAAAGGTCTAAAACCAATCCAAAATCATTTTCATTCTGCCAGTTAAGATCTTAAAATTCCTCCCGCCATATTCCAAAAATATAAGTACCATGTTGTTCTACATCAAAAAGTACTAGACCAAAAAAAAACATGTTTAGACCCAAAAATAACCTGAAAAAAAAATTAAAACGTGTTTTTCGGTTTCTTACCAATATCTTCGGTTCTAAGCATCGTAGAAACTATTTTTTTAGTACATTGGGTTTTTTATTTCCTACAACATCGTATTTTCACAAAAATTTGGTGCGAAATTAAAATTCTTTAACGCTTTTGAAATTTTTAAAATAAAACTGCCTCGAACATAATGCCGAGAAAACTATAATATTTTTTAAGTATCAAATTATCTCCATAATTTTTTCAAATTTTTTATGCACTTTTCTGTTTTTTTTTTTAAATTTACAAATCTTGTATTTGTTTACGTTACGTTTGGGTCTAGAGATCTAAAAAATTTGTTGGTCGGATACTTTTTGATATAGAACATGCTATTTTTATTTTTAAAATATCGCTGGGGTTATTTTTCACTATCTTAACCGGCTATACCACTTCTTGTAGAAAACCCTAAAATCCCCTAAAAAACAAGTTCATACTATACACAATATTTAATGAAGATAGAATAACTACAAATATGCATCAAGGATGCTAAAAAAATAGGTTTGATTACAATTTTGTCCGACAACTTTAATGCACTTAGGCCCGGTTGTTCGAACGAACTTAATTGTAATCAACTATTTAATTACAAGCAAATACGTCACAGCAACTGTCAAAATTATTAAAATTATTTATTTGTAAATAAAAAGTGGAAATTAAAACGTCAATAAACGTATTTTAACCTTTAATTGTGGCTTATTCCCATTTAAATAGTATTTCCCTATACATGACTGATATGTTCTAAAATAAATATTACCTTTAAAGTTTATACCATCAAATGCCATGGCTTGTGTTGTCTCATCAATAGATCTGAATTCCAAAAATGCAAAGTTTTTGTCAAGATTTATTTGACAGGCCAGAACTGGATTACCAGCAGCTTGGGCTAAACCACTCAAGTGCATTTGTTGATTGAAATATTCCATCATTTCTTCTTCAGTCACTCCAAATGGAATATTACCAACATAAAGACGTCTAGCCTGTCTTGTTATTGTTGATCCTACTACAGGTACAGCTGCCTAAAATAAAATGAACTCAAAAATCAGAGACTACTACTATTATTTCTATGTTATAATATAGTAATGTTACTGTAGTATATTATATTCTAATAATATTAACTTACTAACGAAAACTAATAAATTTACTAGGTTCCAGTTGCAAATGGTAAAAAGAGGGAAATAACCATCGAGCACAAAAAACAAAAGAGGAAATGTAAAGGTAATGGGGGCAAAAATATTGTTAGACAGGAAGTGCCATCTTGAGAGGCCACATTAAACAAGGAAAGAGAGTTTCTTTCCTTGTTTAAGAAATCAAATTTAGTTGGGTTATGTTATTGCTGATATTATTGTTTGTCCCAACTGTCACATGAAAGATTATTTGTATTTTCTATTGAAGTTTAATAATTGTTTCACATTCTCCTGTAACACCACATCTCGAATGCCTCAATGTTTTTGATGTTTATCTTTTTCAGTGTCCAGGCTTCCATGCCGTACAGCAGAACGGAGAAAACATAGCACCTTAACACTTTAAACTTTAACATAGATGTAAATATATATATATATATATATATATATATATATATATATATATATATATATATATATTATATATCGGAAAAAGGAGTACGACCGTCAATCCAATATATATATAAGGATCACTCAGAAATTATATCTTCTGCGTCACTGCCCTTGGTCGTTTACAGCTCCAAATATTTTGCGGAGTATTTTACGCTCAAATATTCTCAAAAGTCTTTCATCTTTCTGCGTTAGAGTCCATGTTTCTGCTCCATATGTGAGGACCGGCCTCAGCAATGTTTTGTATATAATAATTTTAGTTCTTCTTTGAATGTTTCTTGAGTGGAAATGTTTTTGGAGTCCATAGTATGCCCTATTTGTAAGATTTATTCGTCTTTTGATTTCTTCGCTTGTTTTATTGGTAGCAGTCAATAGCGACCCAAGGTATGTGAAGTTGTCAACACATCCAAAGGTATGACTTCCAAAGACTGTTTCTCGTTCCTCATTTGCTATCGGATCCTTTATAACCAACATGTACTTGGTTTTGTCTTCGTTGATGACTAGACCGACCTGTTTAGCCGCTGTTTCCAATTCTAGGAGATATTGCTCAACATCTCGCTTGCTACGCCCTACTATGTCAATGTCATCAGCATATGCTAGGACTTGTATCGATCTATTGTAAATAGTACCGCCATCCCTAATTCGTGTATCTCGGATTGCCTTTTCTAAGGCAATATTAAATAGGAGGCAAGCCAGAGCATCCCCTTGTCTGAGTACATCCTTTATCTCAAAGGATCTAGAACTCTCTCCCTGTATTCTAACAGTGGCTTCTAAGTTAGACATTGTCATTCTCGTTAGTCGGATAAGTTTCTCTGGTATAAAAAACTCATGCATTGATTGGTATAGCACTGTCCTCTTGACACTGTTGTATGCGGCCTTGAAGTCGACGAATAGGTGATGGGTTTCAATATTGAATTCTAATGTTTTCTCGAGAATCTGTCTTATTGAATGAATCTGGTCAATTGTTGATTTTTCTGGAGTGAATCCAGCTTGATATTTACCAACTATGCCCACTGTGTAAACTTGCAGCCTTTCGTAGAGAATATTTGCTAGTATTTTGTAAGCAGTTGTTAACAGGGTTATACCTCTATAGTTGTCACACTGGAGCTGGTCATCTTTTTTATGTAACGGGCATATCACGCCTTGAGACCATTCACAGGGCATGGTCTCATTATGCCAAACAAGAAGTAAAAGTTTATGCAGTGTCTGTAGTAGGGCATCGCCACCATTCTTGTAGAGCTCACTGCAAATTTGATCAGCTCCTGGTGATTTATTATTTTTAAGCTTTTTAATGGCTTGGGCAACGTTTTCGATGGTAGGTGGTCTTTCGTTTGGGTTGAAAGGATTCCAATCATTTCGATTTGCTAGGGTGTTATCAGCTTCTTCGATATGATGGCCATTAAATTTTGCATAGAAAAATTCAACCCATCTGTTTAGGATTGAGGCCGTATCATTTAGGATGTTTCCTTCTACATCCTTACAGCTCCTTATTCTTGGCTTAAACTCTTTGCGTATTTTGTTTAGATTGTTAAGCTTTGGCAGGGTTAATTATTGTTTTTTTATTCTTTTTAATAAATATGTTTGGTTAAAATTTGTCTTATTTGCTATCAACTAAGAACTCAGGTTCAATCCCTATTTTAAGACAAGACGAACTCACCCTTGAGATACTGAGCTAGGCAAGGTATAGACGATAAGCTCCCATGGTTGATTGAGGTATTATTTTTACAATAGTACTTCAATTCTCTTTGGTAGTCTTATCGTTACACAGTATAAAATTTAAAAAGTTAATGTTTTGAGGATTCATTTATTTTCTTAGACAAGCATATATTGCGAAGGTTCATCAAAATTTTGAAACATGCCTAGTATTATTATACAATTTTATTATATTATACAATTGTATAATGATAGTAATATGCTAAAACATCAGTAATTTACCTGTGGAGTATCAGCAACTATATTAGCTGGAATCTGACCTGCTGCTTGCATAGCTTTGTACTGAAGAGGTGTAATATGCTCAAAACCTGGAGGAGGTACATCCCAATATAGAGATGGTTTCCGTCTTCTAGAATAAGCATGTTTAAGTCTTGGAGATGGGGAACGAGATCTCCTTCTCCCACGACTTCTTGACCTCGATCTACGCCTATGTTCTCTAGAACGTGATCTTTTCCTTCTATCCTTTTCATTCCTTTCCCTGCTACGATCTCTCTCTTTAGAATCTAAATAAAAAATAAGAGATATACAAACTAGGAAAGATGGTTATGAAACTAGGACACCGAATTAAAAGCAAACAATATGAAAGTTCTACTTTTGGTTGATAATAATTGTCCTGCTCATGCAGATGTAATATGTTTAAAATCTCATTATACAAGACGAAGTGTTAATTCAAAATCTTGACAGTAAAAAAAGTACCTACACGTTACAAAGCAACGAGTATTTGACTAATACCCAAAGTACCGATTCTTCATTGTTAGAAATACTCGTTACTTTTGGTACAGGATAAGACTTACCAAACTATAACTAAGCGGATTACCCGGATATCGGTAACATAAAACAAATTCTTTGTCAATTGACATGCCTGTAATCAGTCAGCACTTGGAGAGATACCAGGGCGGCGACGAAGTGTAATATAATACGATTGCCGAAATGGGTGGTGGTTTCTTTGATATCTGCAGTATTTATAACCTGCAACTGTAATAAGAAGAAACCCAAATATAAATGAAAAGAAATAGACAGAACGATGGTCCAGAAAAAGAATCTAATATTTCACTTTGTTTGAAATATTTATTTGCTTTGAGTGGATAGAAATTGAGGGCTAGAACTGAGAGGCTTCGTTTTACATTTACTTATTGGTGTAATATAATTTGTTTCGATTTATTATTTAAAATTATCTAATATAAAAATGGATTTTCAATAAAGAAGTGCTGTTTGGTTACATTTCGATACAATTTCCAATGAAAATATTAAATGTAATATATGTAAAAGCATTTATTCTTACAAGAAAGGAAGTGTTACAAATTTACGAAAGCATATGAAAAATAAACACCTCACTATAGACACAAATGACACAGGACAAGAAAGCAGGGAAATTGAGCAAACAGAAAATAAAAATACTGATCATATTCATGAGCCAGATCAAGCGCTATTTGGAGTATCCAGTAAGCAAATTTTCATTATTCTAAATTTGAATTAATATGTAAGCTTTAAATAGTAATGTAATTTTTAATAGCGAAAATACCAAATATGTTTTTGAGTCTTATGTTATTGGACATTTTGTTAATAATAAGTTTTTTTTATTTTTAGGCCCATCAACATCAATTATAGAACTGCATTCCATTGAAACGGAAAACAAAGGACCATCAGTGCATACTAAAGAACAGTCAAGTTTACAGTGATTTATTTCAAAGCCAATTCCTTTATTATGACAGTAACGATTTACAACCATTTTCAATTGTTTCTGATAGTGAAAGCTTGTAAATGAATTGAAACCATCCTATGTAACCAACCTAGCAGGGCTACTTTCAGCCAATCTCTGATGCCTGCAAAATACGATGAAAAATGTGAAAGACTGAAGCAACTCCAGGAAACTGCTGAACATGTCTGATAAGTACTGATGGCTGGAACAGTCCATTTCATAACGAAGGACTGGAAAGTTATGGATGTTTACTTTTGTGTTTCAACTATAGCGAACGACATACTACCGAAAATTTAGTTAAAGAATTAAAATGTGTTCTGATAAAAGGAATGTCTCATTGAAAATACATGCCATTAGTACAGACAATGCAGCAAATGTTGTAGTACCTACAAGACTGACTTCATGGGATCAAATTCCTTGTTTCGCCTATATGATAAATTTAATTGTTAGAGATGCATTAAAAAATAGAAAAGACTTGCAAAAAAAATAAAAAAATTTCTTTCTCCAAAGTTGGAACGCGACTGTTAAACTCAGAGCTACTCAAAATCAAATGAAACCTGATGGAACTACCTTGATTAATGATGTAGCAACAAGGTGGAATTCGACATACTATATGTTTGAGACTAGTTACATTATCGGAACCTTTGGCTGCAACAGTTGGTCTTTTGCTCAATTGTATTATAACTGAAGAAAAATGGATGATATTAAAAGAGGTTTGCCATATTTTAAAGCCTTTTGAAGCAGTTACTGTTGAAATGAGTGCATAAAAGTAAATAATCCTCTCCAAAGTTCTACTCATTATAAAAGAACTACTTTCATCTTTAGAGCGAATTAAAGATAAAGTATTCAGTCAAGCACAAAGAACTGTAATAAATTTTCTGCTTGCCTCCATTATTCCCCATTTTGGAAATCCTGAAAACAATCTTATACTGTAAATTAAATTTCTAGAGTCAATTTACTGGGTAAATATTAAATATACTGGGTAAAGCTTCTTTCATGGATCCGAGATTTAAAATTAAGCCATTCTGCAACGAAAACAATTTTAAAAGGTGGTTCAAAATCAAATTTAGGATGAAAATGAAACCATTAATGAAATAAATGAAAATATAAAGATGGACCTATTGGACAATATAGAAAAATATGATATGATTTGGCAGTATTTTGATACATATGTAAAAAGTTCTTTGCATGTGACAAGTCCAAATTAAAATGTTTTCTGAAGAGCCAAACCTTGAAAGAAAAAAAGGATCCTCTCATTTGGTGGTGCGAGAGGCAAAGAGTCTATGCCTGGTTATCTAAATAATCCAAAAAGTATTTATGTGCATGTGCTATTTCTGTTCCATGTGAATGCATCTTTTTTAAAGTAGGTCAAATAGTAAACAAACACAGAAACAGATGAAAATAAAAAAATGTAGGAAAGCTACTATTGTTGCATTGTAATAAGCAAAATAAGCAATTTTTATTTTTTAGATTTGTCAATTTATTGTGTATTTTTCTTTTGTTTTGTGAAAATAAAGAAGTGTGTATTATGTTTAATAAAATCCCAGTTAACAAAGTTTGGACCATTTTTATTAACATTAAGTACCGAAGTGTATTACCATTAACTTTTAAATACTAATCACTAAAGCCATGAATATCATACTCAGATAAAAGTACCGAAAGTAAAGAGTATAAAGTGCCTGATATTGATATTTAATTTTTATTAATATTAAGTACTGAAGTTCATTACCATTACCTTTTTAATACTAATCACTAAAGTCATCAATATTGTACTCTGAAAACTGAATACTAAAAGTACCGAAAGTAACGAGTATAAAGTACCAGGTATTGATATTTTTAGATTAACAAATCGTTAAAATATTCAAAAGTAATAAAAATTTGCATCACTACTGTCCTGTATTGCAAAGAAAACATAAAGCCAACAGTTTCCCTAAACGAGTGTACCTCAACACTAGTTACCTAAAACAAGGTTAAAGACACAATTAGCACCACAACCTATCTGAAATACAATATTATAGTTATCAAGCATGATTTCTTTGATGTAAATAACTGCAATTTGTGTACCAGTTTTGGAGAATGATATTGTACAAGGTGTTTATGAGGAAAAATTACTAACAGGAAGACTCTTTACAGTGCCAACTTTGCATGATGATCTCAATACTCGGGATGGTTGGAACAGGGATTTTTCAACAACTGTTACAACCTGTTTCAGTTCCAAAAATTATCTGTTTAAAAAAAACTGCTTCAGTTCCAAACTGTTCCAAGTCTAAACGTCGCTTTACATTTACGAGTACTCGGATCCGAGTAGCTCGGATTTGAGTTACGAGTGGAACTGCGATCCATTACATTAAATCCGAGCGATCAGAGTAGTTTCAAAGAGGATTTAAAAATGGCGCCATCAAGAAAGAAACGAGCTGCTGTTGCATTAGTTATTAAACATTTTAAAGGAGAAAAATAACGACAAAAAATTAAGACAAAGAAAAGCATTTGGGTGAAACAACATTTACAAGAGGTTTGTTAAAGTTAATGATTACCTAATTTAAAGTATTATTTCCTTTGATATTGTCCCTATGATAATACTTTGACAATACTCCTTTAGTTTCACATTCCATAAACATTCAAAAGAACGATAAAGATTGATAAATTGATCCATTTGATCTGCAGACAATCTTAGTTCGCCATTTTTAATTTGGAATTTTCACCAGTTTGACGCTCATTCGTACAGGTACTCCTACTGATACTCGGTTTGCGTCAACTTCAATCCGAGCTCGGATCCGAGTGACAAGAGGCTCCGAGTAGATGTTTATACTTCTGGGTTGCACTCTGAGTAGAGTAACTCTGATCTGAGTACTTGTAAATGTAAAGCGGACTTAACACTGTGTTATGGGTTGTTTCAGTACCAGTTCGGTTTGTTCCAGAAAGGTTTTTGCAATAACAATAGACCATTGTATTTGTGGTTGTATATTTTGAAAGTTTGAAGTTTTGTTTGTTTATTTGAAGTTTGTTTGAACTCACTGAAAGCGTGCAGATCAAAAGGGGTGTCCGTCAGGGGTGTATATTATCCCCACTCCTATTCAATATGTATTCCGAGGAAATATTTAACAAATGTATGGAAAATGCAAATGAGGGCATTAAAATAAACGGCGAGTTAACGAACAATATAAGATACGCCGACGACACGGTGATCCTTGCCAGTACCATAGACGAATTACAACAAGTAATGGAAAGACTTTATTCAGTTAGTGAGGAATACGGCCTGAGCCTCAACTTCAAGAAGACAAAGTGGATGCTGATAAGCAAAAAGCAACAACCTGCTAGACAATTACGGATAAGTAACATATTAATTGACCATGTAGAATCTTATGTGTACCTTGGCACCAACGTAAATGCAAAATGGGAACAGTCCATAGAAATTAAGGCGAGAATAGAACGAGCTAGAGCAGCATTTAGCAATATGAAAAAGCTCCTCATAAGCAAGGATTTGTCTCTTCCCCTAAAACTACGTATAGTTAAATGCTACATTTTTCCGATCTTGCTGTATGGCGTGGAGGCCTGGACGCTGACGGAGACGCTAACGAGAAAACTAGAAGCATTCGAAATGTGGGTGTACCGACGCATTCTTCGTATATCCTGGACCGAACATGTCACCAACATAGAGGTACTCCAAAGAATCGGAAAGGAGAAAGAAATCGTGAATACAATTAAACAAAGAAAGCTTGAATATCTAGGCCACATATTGAGACACGATAAGTACCGTCTGCTACAATTGATTGTCCAGGGAAAAATAGACAGTAAGCGAGGGCCAGGCAGGAGAAGACACTCGTGGCTCCAAAATCTGCGGAAGTGGTTCGGGCTCACATCGGTCGAACTATTCAGAAGCGCCGCAAACAAGATCAAAATTGCCATGTTAATAGCCAACGTTCGCAACGGACAGGGCACTTGAAGAAGAAGAAGAAGTTTTGTCGTGGGTCGACAATTCACAGTTTACAATCATGGTTTATGCGCATGCACATACTTTCCACTCCACTGGAACTGCAACAACCATATAAAAGCACAGCAATGCAACACTGGTCTCTGATGTAATTGTAAATACACTGGTCTGTTGTGTGATAAAAAACTGTTATATTGGAACAGGAAAACTTATTGATCAATATCTGTTCCAAGCTGTTCCAAATAAAAACCTGTTTCGAAAAGAACAGATCCTGTTCCAAAGTGGCATCTCTACTCAATACTGTTAGTGTATAAAGAAATTCATCAGTTGGCTCTACAGCCCTTCGTTAGCACTGGCCTACCTCAAAATATTCTTTCATCCTTAGCTATCAAGTGTCTGTCTTCTCCATACCCTGACTCAAATCTCCCTTAAATTATCCTGCACATCATTTAGATATCTAACTCTAGGCCACCTCTTTCTTCTTCTGACCTAGGCATGGTTATTTTAGAAGGATCACTTTCATCTTTCAGCAATATTAAAAAATATTGTCCTTTTTAATGAACAGTTTCACATGTAAGGAAATTATGACAATATAATAATTAAAATCCAATGTGAATTATAGAATGTTTATACTCAACAGAAGTTTATTTGAATATCACAATTATAGATTTATATTGCTGTTTTCTAAAATTGAATGAAATGAGGCATTTAAAATAATATGTGCAGATATCCAGCAGGTATACTAAGACTCCTGTGTTAATCAGTTTGATTTTTTGAAGTAGTTACATAGCATTGTGATTTAAAAGAAACACTTTGCTATATAGGAACATACTTTGTTTAAAACTTTTACGATATGTGGACAGTTTTTCTTAAAGCTTTAGTTATATCTGTTTATAGTTTTAGGTGTAATAAAATAAGTAATTTTCTTTAGAATTTACTAATACACAATACCAAGTACTTAGATCTCACATTGATACATTTCTATTTAAAGCATATGATCCTGTATTTTTTAAACATATTACATCCTCCATATCAGTAAAAATAGTTTGCTCTAATATAAAACAAAATAGGAAAAACTAATGCTTTTTATGAAAGCCGATTGTAGTCGTATTTCAGCCAATTGGCTTATTTTACATAATGCATTCATGTAACTTTCTAGCTCACGTTTTTAGTGTATTTACGTGCCCTGCAAAGCGTGGTGACGATTCAGTTAAATTAGAAACTGGAAAACTAATGCTGGTAAGATCTTACAAGTAGTAAAATTCTTAAAAACGTGATCGTAAGAAATCTAGAAACCGTTGCTTTATTATATCCTTTTTAAACGAGTAAAAAAAGGAAGTCTAACTAAATTACAAGAAACACAAAAAAGATTGGAATTAAATAGAAATATAAAAGTACATTAAGGTAAATGTACTAGTAGTTGACATTATAAGAAGAAAAAAAAACATTATTTAGCCTCAAACCCATGTAGATGAAATTAAATAAAAAATATATGTATATTCAGGTAATCTAATCCGTCCTGAATATTTAACAAATAAATTTTTGGACAATTCTGCGTTCTAAATATTTTTTATAAAATTTACAAAAATTGTTGCAAAAGTGTCAGTAGTTGACACAACAAAATGAAAAAAAATTAGTAGTTGACACATCCAAGGTTTAGTAATTGACACCCAAATATATTTTGATACTTTTATTAAGAATATGTAATTACAGGAGAACTTTAATGTTAGATGTTTCCACATCCACTGAATCTGGAAACTGATACTTTATTCTTTCTCATGAAATGAGTATCTGAGGTTGGGGCATCCTTTTGCGGGTTTTTGAGGATTTGAAAATGTTATTACGCTCACATCTTTATCATTAATTCGAAAAGAAGTTTTACTGTCATTTTACTGCTACCAGATTCAACCTATAATTCATTATTATCACTTGATGATTCTTCCTGTTTCTTACTTACTTTTTTTTCGTCGCTGTCAGTTTCTGTTTTTTAACAAAGTTTTTTTCTTCTCTTTTCTTTTGACTCTCTTCTGCTCTTTTCTGTTTTTCTTCAAGAAGCTTGATCTTCTTATTTTCTTTATTTTCATGATGTTTGCCATTCTTTTGAACTAGCCACAGAAGGAACTTTTTCCACTCTTCTTTTTTTTACTGCGGATACTCTGGGTTCAGGCCAAAACAGTATTCATTTAAAAGGAGAGGGTATAATTTCATTTGATGTAGAAGGTGTAGGTAATTCTTCAATTGCTGAAGATGGAACTTGTGATTGTGTTAATGAAGAAGCACAATTGTCTTGCACAACAGCAATATTGTTATGTTGAAGATTTTTCCTAGTGGGACTAGTGTGACTTTCCAAAACATCCGAAATGTTTCTACCTGGTTCAGCCTCAGATTGGTTTAATAACTCACCTATTTCATAGTGTTCTTCGACTGGCTTATCAGGTTTGTTCTCTACGTAAATGTCTTCAACATTAGGGCTGTCTTCAACATTTGGTATGTCCTCAATATAAGTGGCAACTTCAATAATATTGTCTTCATCATCTGGTTCTTTCGCACCTTGTTTCGATTTCAAATTGTTTATTTCTTCTTCTAAAAGACTGTATTTTATGCAAATGTTTTTGTAAAAGTAAAAGAGAAATAAATCTTCATTGTCATTGTTCCATTCTAGGCTTGTTTTGAAAAGAGCTAGTTTTTGTTTATCAATATGTTTCTCTATAAAGTTTTTCCCTTGTTTCATTTCCTGCAATTCCTGCATTTTCTTTGAAATGTCTATTTTCTCATTGTGAAACATAATCGCACCAACATCCTAGGGAACTAAGCCACATTTTCGGAAACCATTTTTTAAAATTGATGGTACTTAAACTTTCCTCTAGAACTTTTTTCAAAAGAGGACAGAAGTGAATTTTCCTTAAAACTGGAGAAGCCTGATTCTCAATCCGCCACTGGTGTACTGCATCTTTCCAACCCCCTTTCAAAGAACGAAATACAGCAACATCCATTGGCTGAAGCAAATGTGTTGCATTTGGATGAAGGGCTACCAATATAATACCATGTTCACTGCAAAATCTACTAGTGTGTAATGTTAAATGTTGCTGAAACTGGCTTTCTACATAGAACTTCCTCAATAGCTTTCTCCATAGCTTCTTCTGTATATTGGAACATTTGTCCTTTTGTAGGAGGCATATTTTTAACTGAAATTTAAAATTTTTGTTTTAGTAGTTGACATCCAAAGTGTTTCAATAGTTGACATAGTGTCAACTACTAGATAGAGTGGATACATTTACATGATATTTAAAATATAAGTGTACACATTATATACAATGAAAATAACAATAAAATATTAAGTTTTTACAGTCTCAGTATAAATGGTTAGTAGTTGACACCTATGTCAACTACTAGTATTTTTGTGTATTTGTGAGTTAGTAATTGACACCTAGCCTAATTTTTGTTTTGAGAATAAAACAAACTTAAAACATTAGCAAGATGTTACCTTAATATTCATATAATATATTGATATATCTAAAACTACAGTCATTCACAATTTAATCAATAAATATTAATTTTTTTAAACTTACATTCTTAATACTTTTGTTTAGAAAACTTGTTGCCACTTGAAGCTCACACAACACTTTGACAAAAATTTGGTGGGAATTTTCTGTTTCAAAGTTAAATAATTCTACAGTTACAGAGAAGATGTATAAATGACACTAGTTAACTATGATGGTAATAATTACATTAAAAATAATTGGAAAAGCTTATTATTTATGCTTAAAATGGAAAATGTCAACTACTGGTACAGTGTCAAGTACTAGTGCATTTACCTTATATCTTATTCATCAATAAAACATGGACAGGTAGGTGCTATTTTTCCAGAGTTATAGATTATTTGACGTTATAAATACCTTTTTCTTCTCCCATCTTTCCGGCACTAAATTTGCTTTTTAATAGACTAAAAACTTTTTACAGTAAAAAAAACCACAAAAATTAATTATTTTGTCGATAAGTATATTTTGACAGATTGGCTTTTTACACAAAATGGACGCTTATCAGATCACAATTCGATACAGCGCAGGCGCAATTACAGTGAGTTATAAAATGGACTACCTAAGCACAGAATAATAAACAATCAGAATGCCCACTCTCATATGCCGCCTTTGAAGTTTTTCAGCACGCGCGCCATGTTTTAAGAAGGAAACACCCAACCACAGAATAATAAACAATCAGAATGCCCACTCTCCATGGAAAATTAAGTACGCGCATCTCCTTCGCGCAGACGTTCCGCCATGTTTTAGAAGGATCCAGTGTTGTTTATGTGGTGTGGATAAAAAATTAACCAGGCTTAATTGACTTACTTCAATCATAGACATAATATACAATTATATTAACATTGTTAAATATAATAACATAAATATAATATAATTAAACATAGTAAATTAATTACTATTAAACTGGGAATAAAGATAAAAAATACGTTTATTGACGTTTCAATTTCCACTTCGGAAATCGTTATCAAAATTAAACATAAATATAAACAATTACATAACCTCACAAATCATCCTTTCTTTCCTTTTAAAATATGGCATGTGCTGAAAAACTTCAAAGGCGGCATTGAGAGTGGGCATTCTGATTTTTTATTATTCTGTGACCCAACACAGTCATATGATTTGTGAGGTTATGTAATTGTTTATATTTATGTTTAATTATATTATATTTATGTTATTATATTTAACAATGTTAATATAATAGCACAGAATAATAATCAATCAGAAGGGCCACTCTCAGATGCCGCCTTTGAAGTTTTTCAGCACGCGCGCCATGTTTTAGGAGGACACAGACATATGATTTGTGTGGTTATGTAATTGTTTATATTTATGTTTAATTATATTATATTTATGTTATTATATTTAACAATGTTAATATAATTGTATAGTATGTCTATGATTGCCGTAAGTCAAATAAACCTGGTTAATTTTTCCATGCACACCACATAAACAACACTAATTTCTTTAAAATCCTCCTAAAACATGGCGGAACGTCTGCGCGGAGGAGATGCGCGTACTTAATTTTCCGTGGAGAGTGGGTATTCTGTTTGTTTATTATTCTGTGATAATAGTATGTCTATGATTACCGTAAGTAAATTTAACCGGGTTAATTTTTCTATGCACAGCACGTAAACAACACTGGTTTCCTCTAAAACATGGCGGAAGGCGGAACGTCTGCTTGCGCGAAGGAGATGCGCGTACTTAATTTTTCATGGAGAGTGAGCATTCTGATTGTTTATTATTCTGTGACCTAAGTCTGACGTCACATTGGGCGGGGATGTAAAAACCTTTCTAGACATTTCTAATTTGCTGTGTTGCCAATGTCCAGATAATTATCCGATTTTCGGATAATTTCGTGGACCATCGGATAATTTTCGGATTGAAAAATTTTTTGGATAATATCGGATAATTCACGGGTCTATCGACTTTTTATTTTTAAATATAATTTAAATTTTTATAAGCTTAAATAGCTAAATTTGCGAATGTACATAGAACTTGTTGATAAATAGTATAGTTTTGGTTGAATGTTTTACTATACAAAATCCAGGGATCTTTGAAATTGACAAAACAAAAATCGAATTTCATTTCAATCCAAGTCTAAAAGATCGAAGTAGTCAAGTAATTCCCCTGTGGCACTTTCTCTATACTTTTGCCGATTATGTATGTAAATAATAAGCATTTTTAATATAGGATTTAAGAGTTAATAATTTGTTAATTTGCTGTATTTATGTATTATTTGTTGTTTTTTATTTAAATAAATATTTCTATCAAACTAAACTTTTTTTTTGCCATCATTTGTCATATTAATTGTTATTTGTCATCTACTAATGTGTCAATGTCAACTGTCAATGTCAATTATGCCATTTAATTAGTTTTCTTTTTCGATTTTTATAAATTCGGATAATTTCGGATATTTGGTTTCTAACATTCGGATAAATTCGGATATTTTGCTCCCAACATCCGGATAATTTCTACTTTTGCATTGGCAACATGCCCCGCGAACTCTAGTAAAAAATGTTATTCTATTTAGCTTACTTCCAGGCCGTATAAGGCCGTGCAAAACGTTAATTTATGCATCATAGAACATGACATTTGACAAGCCCTGCACTGTGACCAGTGATATGCATATCTCTGACTGTGACCTACCGGCCCTACCGCGTCCAAAAAGCCAATTCAAAATAGCCTTTATAGCGTGTAGCTGTTTACGTGGTATTTGTTTGCGATTATTTTGGTTTTTGCGACTGTTGAAAAAATTATTTTCAATCGTATTTTTCGATATTTTTTTATACCCGATTAAGTGGTGTTTTTGTTTGGTTTGTGTGACCATAAGAATAGTTTATATTCATTCCTATTTTTCCATATTTTTATACACCTGATTAAGTGGTAAGAAAATCTTGCCAATAATTTTATATGTGAGAGTGGGAAATATTTGAGTATATGGCAACACTGACGTATATTAAGCTTACATTCAATGACGTATAATATATAGACTACGCCACAGAATAATAAACATACAGAATACCCACTCTCCACGGAAAATTAAGTACGCGCATCTCCTCCGCGCAGACGTTCCGCCATGTTTTAGGAGGATTTTAAAGAAATTATGTGGTGTGCATGGAAAAATTAACCAGGTTTATTTGACTTACGGCAATCATAGACATACTATACAATTATATTAACATTGTTAAATATAATAACATAAATATAATATAATTAAACATAAATATAAACAATTACATAACCACACAAATCATATGTATGTGTCCTCCTCAAACATGGCGCGCGTGCTGAAAAACTTCAAAGGCGGCATCTGAGAGTGTCCCTTCTGATTGTTTATTATTCTGTGACTACGCAGTCCCCTATTCTCGCTATAGAATCGAGTGTCCGAAAGATCTCGGCTCAAGGTTGAAGGTATGTTTATCAGAACAGCGGCGTGCTCATTTATATGTTAATGACAATAATTATTTTTTTAATTAAAATTAAATATGTATGATTTCTTTTTGTTCCCGTCTATAAGAGAAATAATTATTTTGATAAAATAGTATGGCATTTTACTAAAATAGTAAGTAAATAACTCTCAACAATTTAAAATAAAATTTGCTTGTCACACAAAATGGAGTACGTCCATGATGTTTTCAAACACAAGATCAACTTCGTGATGCTTCGTAAGAAATCATGAACTTCGTGCATCTTCGTATCAAAACAATAAACAATAACAAAGGTATTCATGTTTTGGACACTTTTTAAAGCGTTCACCGAGTCTTACGTCATTGCTTACATTTAACGTCAAACATATCAACAAGGTTATGTTCATTGCACCAATATTGAAGAAAACCGATTTTTTTCCACAATATCAATGCTAAAACCTTGAAAACGATTGGTAAGTTTATCAATATTTTCCAAATTAAAATGTAAGTAAAATATAAATAAATACCCAACCTAACCTATCCTTTAACCACTGATGTCCTGTCCAAGATGCCAAATTCCAGATATACCTTACAATACATAGCTTAATAGATGAAACAAGAAAAATCTATATCATTAATGACATATAGAATTATTTTAGAATATCCACTATAAATTGTCCAAAATAGTTGAAGGGAATATGGTTATTTCCAGAATCTCTGTGAGGAGAATTCCCTTCTATAATTGAAATAAAAATATATACATGAGCTGGCCACGTACCTAAGAGGTGGAGGCCATAAAACGAAAAAAGAAGAAGAAAACCGATTTTTTGATTAGATTGATTTTTGATTTATCCATGGAACGAGAGTGTTTATCTAACGTGTTTAAAATACACATTTATTTAATTTGATTTAAGATTTTTATTTTTAGGTAAAATGCCTCCCATCAACTGTTGTGTGCAGAGATGTTGGAAAAGTACAACAAGTAAACATAGATTTCCGGATCCACAAAAGTACGCGGATCTTTTTAATCAATGGGTACATTTAGTGGGTGATAAAAACCTGTTGGATAAAGATCCTCAAAAGGTCTACACAAGTAACAGAGTTTGCTCCATTCATTTCAAAGCAGAAGATTTTGGTCCTAATAATCGACTAAAAACAGGAGTTTTGCCATCCATCAATCTGCCAGGTATATAATTAAGATTTAGATATTGAAAGATAAGTTAGTACTGCACATATATTTTTGTTGTCATTGTGGAGTTACAGGTTTTTTTTATTATTCAAACTTTAATATTGATATTGTTTTCACTCACTCAAATTTTTTATTTCAGCCTCTTTGGGTGAGATACATTTACCCCAGACAGAAAGGCCTCTACTAAAGGACATACAAAATGTCATGTCCAGCTGTAGTTTCAGTGTGTCTCCAGGCACAAATTATTTATTAAACATTGATACTTGTCCTGGAACTAGTAATCAAACTCCAAAACGTAAGTATTTCTATATTAGAATTTAATATGATTGTAAACAAAAAAACAACCTTGTTAAATGAAATGCATTTATTAAGACATTTTTGTGCAAAACCTTTCAACTGAGACTGAGCAAGAATTTACATGTCTATAATTCTTTAGATCACATTTATCCCCTTTTTTGTGAAATATTGTTACTAGAACCGTCTATTAAATACCTGTTATTATAGGGATGGTTAGTGGCTTACTTGTTTTCAAGAGCTCGGCAACTATACCGTTGGGTCCTGGAATTTTATTATTTTTCAGCTCTTTTAAAGCTCTTTCTATTTCGAATCTTTTTATATTTGGTATGACTTCTGATCCCACGTTTTCCATCTTAATGAATCAACAAAGGAGAACGCCTAAAGTTTATGAAGAAATAAATATTTTAATGTTTAATGTATCAATGTTTGTGTATATAAATATATATATATATATATATATATATATATATATATATATATATATATATATATATATTTATATATATATATATATATATATATATATATATATTTATATATATATATATATATATATATATATATATTATATATATATATATATATATATATATATACATATATATATATACAGGGTGGTCCTTAAGTAATTGTACAAAAAGAAACCGCAGATTCTATACCTTAAAATATTACGATTTAAGCCAACTTGCTTTAATAAAATGTTGATATTAAAAAAGATACAGGGTGTTAAAGTGGAAATTTAAAATTTTATTTTTCGCTATAACTTTCATGTTTGTAAACATTTATATACAAAAATTTACAGCTGGGTACTATTTGATATCTGAAATTATACTTTGATGAATACTTTGATATAGCTAATAGAGGGCGCCACATATGCCACATACGTGGCATAAATTTACACTTAACTTTTTTGTTCTTTAAATTACCGTTATTTAAAATAAAAAATATTAAAGATACATTATTTTAACAAAAAAAAGTTATACCTGTTAATAACATCAAAACTCAATACTTTTCGAGATAATCGCATTTTACAAATCAACTGCATAATTCTGATTTAACGCAATTACTCCAGGCAATGAAAGAAAAATATATAAAAACATCAATACTTCTGAATTTTGTTATAATATACCTTAATAAAGTCAATAATTAACGAAATATTAAATAAAATAAATATATCAGCAGGATAATTAATAATAGGATTTGATAAAATAACAGAATAATTGGATTTTACATCAAACATTTTATTTTAATTTGTATTAAATTAAAGTCATAATCAAAACATTTTATTTACAAACCAAATTAAGAAATAGTTAAACTAAATAACATTAAACTTTTTGTCAAAGTAAGTGTTCACTATGTCCACCATTTTCTTTAATTCATTTGTCAATACATTCCATAAAATATCGTCTCATATTAAATAGCGTCATTGGTTCTAAAGAAACTGCTGCAGTATTTATAATAAGTGTTATAAGTATAATAATAAGTAATTTTTTGAAATGTTTATGAATTAAATAATTATATTAATATCTCACCACAAGAATATGACTACCATGAACAATCCAACGTTCAGGAAAGTTTAAAGAAGTATTTAAATACTGTCTCACTCCGCTTTCTCTGTAATGTAATGGTGTACCATCTTGTAGAAACCACATATTTCGCCTTAAGTTTGATGACAATTCTTCCAATAAATCAATAAAATCATTTTGTAAAGAATGTAAATAAATCTCACCATCCAAATTGAAAGGTAATTCGCATATCCGTAAAACATCATTCAAAATTGATATTTAAAATGCATGCCCTATGGTTTGGAACCATTGATAATTATTTTTTACGGATATGCGAATTATCTTGCAATTTAAATAAAGAGATTTATTTACATTTTTTATAAAATTATTTTATTGATATATTGAAAGAATTGTTATCAAATTTAAGGCGAAATATGTGGTTTCTACAAGATGGTAAACCATTACATTACAGAGAAAGCGGAGTGAGACAGTATTTAAATACAATTTTCCTGAACGTTGGATTGTTCATGGTAGTCATATTCTTGTGGTGAGATATTAATATAATTATTTCATTCATAAACATTTCAAAAAATTATTTATTATTATACTTATAACACTTAGAATAAATACTGCAGCAGTTTCTTCAGAACCAATGACGCTATTTAATATGAGATGATATTTTATGGAATGTATTGACAAATGAATTAAAGAAAATGATGGACAATATGGACTAGTGAACACTTACTTTGACAAAAAGTTTAATTTTATTTATTTTAACTATTTCCTAATTTGGTTTGTAAATAAAATGTTTTGATTATAACTTTAATTTAATACAAAACGTAAAATGTTTGATGTAAAATCCAATTATTCTGATATTTATCAAATCCTATTATTTTATTCTGCTGATATATCTTTTTATTTAATAATTCATTACCTATTAACTTTATTAAAGGTATTTTATACCAAAATTCAGAAGTATTGATATTTTTCTTTAATTTTCTTTCGTTGCCTGGAGTAATTGCGATAAATCAGAATTATGTAGTTGATTTCTAAATTGCGATTATCTCGAAAACTGTTGAGTTTTGAAGATATTAACAAGTACACCTTTTTTTTGTTAAAATAACGTATCTTTAATATTTTTTATTAAAAATATCGGTAACTTAAAGAGCAAAAAAGTTACGTGCAAATGTATGCCACATATGTGGCATATGTGGCGCCCTCTATCAGCTACATTAAAATATACATCAAATTATAATTTCTGATATTTAATAGTACACAGTTGTAAATTTTTATACATAAATGTTGACAAACATAAAAGTTATAGCGAAAAATAAAATTTTAAATTTCCACTTTAACACCCTGTATCTTTCTTAATATTAACATTTTATTAAAGCAACTTGACTTAAATCGTAATATATTAAAGTGTAGTATCTACGGTTTCTTTTTGTACAATTACTTAAGGACCACCCTGTATATATATATATATATATATATATATATATATATATATATATATATATATATATATATATATAGTAAACTCTTAAATATTGGGGAAATCTGCAAAAAAACTCTAATGTGTATCAATTATTTCACCTAACGTTTTCGCCAAAGAGAATTTGGCTTCTTCAGGGCTGAAAGAGAATAAATTATAATTAGCTACCATATATTATATAATAAAAAACATTTACCTTACCGTGAAATTTTAGAAATGTCAAGTTATGATGTTAAAAAACTTTAGCTAGTAACAACATAGTGGTGTTTTTTTGTTACTATGTGCAAAAAAGTTTATTTGTTAACATTGGAAATGTATGGTAGCTTTGAACTTAAAACGCAAAGGTTTACCCAAGGACAATCGAAAAGCCCAATGTAACTACATTTAAAGGAAGTAATTCTTTGAATTGTCGGCAATAACTAAATTTTTAATTGTTGTAAACTTTGAATGTGAGCTTCTGTTTTATAGAACGCAAGCGCCGAAACAATAACAAGTAGTTCTTTTGATATCATTGTCGTTAAGGTTCATTGGTAAAACCAGTGAAGTTAGATCCCAGTCTGGGAAGATATTAGTTTAGAATTTTCTTAATTGAAATTCTTTGTTTTAATTAGTATATTGTTCATGTATTATTGTAATAATATCTTATTAAGATGTATCTAAGAAAAGCAAGGGAATGTTATCTTTTTTTGTTAATGAAAATTATTATTAAAGTAGGTTAGTTGTTAATAGATATATCAGTCAAGTTGGTTATCTGTGATGTTGTATTGTTCTTGGTATCTGATTTAAGTAAGAAGTGGTATATATCGCTTAGATTCTTAATGTCACTCTTAACATTGATGGAAAAGTCGTTAAGGAAAATATAAGACATTTCAATGAACTCTCTTTTCGATTTATTGTTCTCACGGTGGAGAATTGTAGTGTTCGAACATGGACATGTTCACATGGACTATACGAACACTACAATTCTCCACCGTGAGAACAATAAATCGAAAAGAGAGTTCATTGAAATGTCTTATATTTTCCTTAACGATTTTTCCATCAATGTTAAGAGTGACATTAAGAATCTAAGCGATATATACCACTTCTTACTTAAATCAGATACCAAGAACAATACAACATCACAGATAACCAACTTGACTGATATATCTATTAACAACTAACCTACTTTAATAATAATTTTCATTAACAAAAAAAGATAACATTCCCTTGCTTTTCTTAGATACATCTTAATAAGATATTATTACAATAATACATGAACAATATACTAATTAAAACAAAGAATTTCAATTAAGAAAATTCTAAACTAATATCTTCCCAGACTGGGATCTAACTTCACTGGTTTTACCAATGAACCTTAACGACAATGATATCAAAAGAACTACTTGTTATTGTTTCGGCGCTTGCGTTCTATAAAACAGAAGCTCACATTCAAAGTTTACAACAATTAAAAATTTAGTTATTGCCGACAATTCAAAGAATTACTTCCTTTAAATGTAGTTACATTGGGCTTTTCGATTGTCCTTGGGTAAACCTTTGCGTTTTAAGTTCAAAGCTACCATACATTTCCAACGTTAACAAATAAACTTTTTTGCACATAGTAACAAAAAAACACCACTATGTTGTTACTAGCTAAAGTTTTTTAACATCATAACTTGACATTTCTAAAATTTCACGGTAAGGTAAATGTTTTTTATTATATAATATATGGTAGCTAATTATAATTTATTCTCTTTCAGCCCTGAAGAAGCCAAATTCTCTTTGGCGAAAACGTTAGGTGAAATAATTGATACACATTAGAGTTTTTTTGCAGATTTCCCCAATATTTAAGAGTTTACTATTTAACTTATCTGCAAAGATTAAATTTCTTTTCTATATATATATATATATATATATACTGCCGTCCTAACATGAAAGGTCCTATCTGCAAAATTTGGTAAAATGACTTTATTGGCTCATGGCATTCGTAAACATATTATCTATGTATGTACAAAATGAAAT